GAGCTGCGTTCCGCAGCCATGCCTGGATCCGATGATCCATGCCTGGACCCGATTATGGCCCTGGCTTACTATGTCACCAGTTACGTGTCTCACCAAAGTACACCTCTACAGTCCGCCGTCAAATAGCTAGAATATTGCTGAGTGCGGCGTTAAACAACAAATAAACAAAACACCTCTTCAACCTGTGTCAATTGCTCCACATCAGGCTGACACGCCTAAACTTAAATACTGTTCAGTTTTTTTTTGTCAGTTTGAATCACTTTAGGCTGCAATTATTTGTTTTTAGGCACACTTCACTTTTCCTTTGTGCATGGACACGACACGGGATCGTTCGAGTGTGGGGTCAGTGTAATGTCATCTGGCTCTGTGGTCTTTGGCAGTACAGTCAATATGACCGTCAAAAAATCAACAGGTAAATCAAAGAGAAAAAAACCTTTCCATTTTCCCATAATGATTAGGAGTACACATTGAAGAAAGTGTTAGAGGAAAAGGTAGAAGAACATGTCTGATAAATCCCATGATAATGTTTCAATCTGTTTCGCAATGTGAAAAGAAAGACATTTCCAGTGGGTCAAACAGGCCATATCATACCTTGTCGTTTCAAAACAATTACATAATTGATCGTGTTTCAGGTGAAGAGATGGACAGGAAGCCAAAGGTGATGTTTCACAGTGGCACCATCAAGAGTGAACTCGGAGAGGATGTACAACTGGAATGTATCTTCAGCGGCAGGTCTGTTGTCATATGTTGTCATGCAACGCTCTTGTAACTGTTTTATCACAAGTGCTTACCCTGAACCTTGTCACACCGTGGACCCCAGTTCGACCCACAAGTTTGAACTTCTGTTTTGGTGTTGCTCTTAGTGATAGCGAATATTGCTAAAAGTAATGAAAAGACAACCAGACATCCATACTAAATAGTTCTTCCATTTGAAAACACATTACTTATGTACAGATTAGAATAACTAAAATGCAGCAAAGAGGGTTTGGGTGATCCTGGCACAGTTAGGCTGGTTAGGATCATCATCAGCTCAGTGCCATACAGTTCACCATACAGCCTTGGCATGAATGCTATCACAGTGGCACCAACTGACTGATTAGTCATCAAAATCACATTAATATGAATGGTGAAATGTATACACACTTACTCGTCTTTGCAGACCTATACCAAAGATATCGTGGACACATTCTGACAAAACCATCAAGTCACGTGGCAGAGTTTTGTCCTCTCACGGATTTGTGGTCATCAAGAACGTGACTGAGGCTGACCACGGAGTATATACATGCACAGGAGAGAACATCGCGGGGTCTGAGTCTTCATCTGTTACTTTAGACGTATCAAGGAGGAGTATCAGTAAGTCAAGCTATTTTTCACACTGTCATGTATTCCTCTCGGCTGAGATTCCAGATTACAGTTTACATCAACATATTCCTGTCGTAAGAGGAAACTCACTTGAATGGTTGGTCAGGCTAAGTGATTTGGTTCAACTTGATTCTTTGCCATCGTACTCCGACAGCGGGATCGTTGCAGACAATATCAATGACTGGTTTGTTACAGGCCACCGGCCATAGTGCCACTGTGTGCAGTAGTAATGTTACTGAACGGGTTACAACTTTATTGCAGAATACATGACTTCTCGCACTTCTATTCTAACACATCTTCAGTTCAGGATATTAACAGCGTCAACATATAGTCAAACATGATGCGGTATGGCTAACATTACATGAATAATGTTTTTTTGTAGTACATCAACAAGATATTTCGTTGTCAATGTTATAATTCTTCTGAAATCATAATAATATTTCCGACCCGACTCCATTTTAGCTCTTGCCTCAATCGCTTATATTGTAAGTTACTGTGGGAAGGCATGGTTTCATTGGCGAGGGGGCTCTTCTTGATGGAATTGTATTGTGCATTTTTGCACACATCATTTTTTTTCGATACTCGTTTTGTGAAGAATGTATTCCACAGTTTCTTAAACGAGCTAAGGATGTGGGACATAATCTCAAAGTCAATGTTGATTATGTTGATGGTTCTGGGTGGTTTCTGGGCAGTACGGAAATGAGTGTCAACCAAGCGAAGTGCCATTTCAATTGGTCCATACTCGGGGAGAGGCTTTCTACGCGACCACTGCATTGAGTCTGTGTGCAGTGTGTTGGGGAGTAATTACATTCTCCGAAAACGTTCTGCGTGGGTTCGACTAGGAAGCGCTTCCGGTCTGGGCTGCGTGTAGAGAGTTTGGTTTGGTTTGTTGTTTAACGCCACACTTAGCAATATTTCAGCTATATGACGGTGGTCTGTAAATAATCGAGTCTGGACCAGACAATCCAGTGATTGACATCATGAGCATCGACTCACGCAATTGGGATCGATGACATGCATCAACCAAGTCAGCGAGACTGACACCCCCCCCCCCCCCCCCCCAATACAGTACACCCTGAGACCTACTTTCTCATTATATGCAGTCCCACCAAACGCTAAGCAGTCCACTCCATCCGATGAGCAGAATCATGACACCACAGCAGGCAAGTTATGCATCATGCTATTTACATCCCTTTAAATGTGCAGTTTTAGGGTTTGTCATATTGCCTTAATAAATGTCACTTAGTAATTTTAAGTGTGGCTGTATTTGTTTTTGTTTTATACACAATTTTACATTGTCAAACAAACAGTGAGTGTGTGAATGTTGTGTAAAGCCGCAGTCAACAATATTCCAGCTGTGCATCAGTAACAAACCATGCGTAGCTCCAGTGCAGTGCGCTGTCTGGGAGTTCTTGTAGCAGTTCTTCAGTCATATCGAACTTGGATTCGAACCCGCGATCAGCGGATCCGGGACTGACTATTGGACGGATTACGGCGACCTATACGGCTCGGCCTCCCGTGCCCCTGAGAGTGTAAAAAACAGTCAATAAACGAGCCAAGGATGTGGGACATAATCTCAAAGTCAGTGTTGATTTTGTTGATGGTTCTGGATGGTTTCTGGACAGTACGGAAATGAGTGTCAACCAAGCGAAGTGTCATTTCAAATCGGTCCAGACTCGAGGAGAGGCTTTCTATGCGTCCACTGCATTGAGTCTGTGTGCAGTGTGTTGGGGAGTATTGACATGCATCAACCAAGTCAGCGAGACTACATCAACAGTCGAGCGTTGGTAAAGCCATTATCCAATTGTTTAAGTATCACTAACACAACATCAATAAGCTATTTCGAAGCATTTAAAAACATGGTTTGGGTAAAATGTATGAATTGAAACTTATGAAACCTTTCCTCATTTCAGCGTCGGCTGGTGGACCGTCCTCTGTTCTGGTCGCTACATCAGTGGTCGTGCTCATCGTGCTTGCACTGATTGGTACAGTTGCGTGTAACATGATATGGTATAAATAATCACGTTTTTAATTTTATATACCTCATTTTTAAAACTAACTTCGAAAACGGCCAAGATTTTTCCCTATTTCACAATGATTATCTGAAAATACAGTATACAAACATAGTGATGTAAATAATGAAATCGTGAATATTCACCATACAAAATTGGATATTCTCTTTGACACAGTAATGTTATAATGGACCTCTATGAGCTAAAGTACAATATACATATAAACAGGTGAGGTGAGGTGAAATTAGGTTTAACGTCGCGTCGCACTTATATAGCGACATGCATGCGTGCGTGCGTGCGTGCGTGCGTGCGTGCGCTTGTACTAGTCTTCTAGCTCACTGAGATACCATGCCGCAGTTTAACATGAATACCCCACTCAGACACAGTATACTGACTCCGAGGCGACCAGTCCTTGTTTTAGCCCCTTAATGCCGAGCGCCAGAAAGGGTAACAACAAGTACCATCTTTAAACGTCTTTTGGTATGACGCGGCCGGGGATCGAACCCCGGACCTTCCGCTCTCCGGGCGGACGCTCTACCACTAGACCACGGAGGCGGTCTACATAAAAATCAATATAAATAATTCGTTTGTCTTTCTGATAAGCAACATAACTAATCTAAAGTAATAACTGCAATATGATATGCGATAACCTGTCTGTTGTTTACTAATGTGTTTATGGTTTTTCGCTTGTGTTTCGTTTGTTTGTTGTTTAACGTCGCACTCAGCAATATTCCACCTACATAAACGTAAATAATCGAATCGGGCCAGACAATCCAGTGATTGACGTCATGAGCATCGATTCACATATATTCCTACGCGGAAGGTGTATAGCGATATTTTGCAAGAGTTTTAATGTGCATTAAACAAATGTCACATGTCAACATATTGTGTGTAAAACCTCCAACATACATGTACCTGTTGCCATTGTTAAGTATATGCTAATGATTTAACTTAACATACTTCGATTTCAGGCGCTTGAAGAAACAGAAGACAGACAACCGTACACCAACCTGCCAATATGACGATGGAGGAGTTTATGTTGGCTAGTGATAACACACCTTCAGAAATTAATTTCAAACAGTCTGTTACAAAATTCTGCTTTACCATGTACATGACTGTTCATATTAGAGTCTTATTTCACCTGGGTACAATCAATTTTGTTTTATTTTTACTGTTCACATGTGTTTCTCTTCAATGACAACGGGGTATCGCGTTTCCTTCTGTAATAAATTGCTCAAAAAAGCAATCAAGACGCATGCGTAATTTTCCTAATTTAACATAAAACTTTCACAAAACATTTGTATGATTGCAATTTGATTAATGTCATAAAACTATACATTCAAAAGGAACACCATTTGCCCTTACACATATCTCCATCTTTTGTTCAAACATATTGTTTCAAAGCCCTCTAAACAATGATAATCAATGATATGTTATGACATGTACATGCCTTATTCACTTCCTCATAAATGTCAGGTCACGCATCTACAAATAGATTCTCAAGTGTGTTTATCATCCAAATAAAGAAACAGGACTGGTGGTGGAATGTGGCAGGGTAGGTGCTGGTGGTGGAATGTGGCAGAGTAGGTGCTGGTGGTGGATGTGGCAGGGTAGGTGGTGGATGTGTCAGGGTAGGTGCTGGTGGTGGAATGTGGCAGGGTAGGTGCTGGTGGTGGAATGTGGCAGGGTAGGTACTGGTGGTGGGATGTGGCAGGGTAGGTGCTGGTGGTGGGATGTGTCATGATAGGTGCTGGTGGTGGGATGTGTCAGGGTAGGTGTTGGTGGTGGAATTTTGCAGGGTAGGTGCTGGTGGTGGAATGTGGCAGGGTAGGTGCTGGTGGTGGGATGTGGCAGGGTAGGTGCTGGTGGTGGAATGTGGCAGGGTAGGTGCTGGTGGTGGAATGTGGCAGGGTAGGCGCTGGTGGTTGGATGTGGCAGGGTAGGTAGGTGCTGGTGGAGGAATGTGGCAGGGTAGGTGCTGGTGGTGGGATGTGTCATGATAGGTTCTGGTGGTGGGATGTGTCAGGATAGGTGCTGGTGGTTGATGTGTCAGGGTAGGTGCTGGTGGTGGAATGTGGCAGGGTAGGTGCTGGTGGTGGGATGTGTCAGGATAGGTGCTGGTGGTTGGATGTGGCAGGTTAGGTGCTGGTGGTGGAATGTGGCAGAGTAGGTGCTGGTGGTGGATGTGTCAGTGTAGGTGCTGGTGGTGGAATGTGTCAGGGTAGGTGCTGGTGGTGGAATGTGTCAGTGTAGGTGCTGGTGGTGGATGTGTCAGTGTAGGTGCTGGTGGTGGGATGTGGCAGTGTAGGTGCTGGTGGTGGAATGTGTCAGGGTAGGTGCTGGTGGTGGATGTGTCAGGGTAAGTGCTGGTGGTGGGATGTGTCAGGGTAGGTGCTAGTGGTGGAATGTGTCAGTGTAGGTGCTGGTGGTGGATGTGTCAGTGTAGGTGCTGGTGGTGGGATGTGGCAGTGTAGGTGCTGGTGGTGGAATGTGTCAGGGTAGGTGCTGGTGGTGGATGTGTCAGGGTAAGTGCTGGTGGTGGAATGTGGCAGAGTAGGTGCTGGTGGTGGATGTGTCAGGGTAAGTGCTGGTGGTGGAATGTGTCAGGGTAGGTGCTGGTGGTGGGATGTGGCAGAGTAGGTGCTGGTGGTGGATGTGTCAGGGTAAGTGCTGGTGGTGGAATGTGGCAGGGTAAGTGCTGGTGGTGGAATGTGACAGAGTAGGTGCTGATGGTGGAATGTGGCAGGGTTAATGCTGGTGGTGGAATGTGGCAGGGTAAGTGCTGGTGGTGGAATGTGGCAGAGTAGGTGCTGGTGGTGGAATGTGGCAGGGTAAGTGCTGGTGGTGGAATGTGGCAGGGTAAGTGCTGGTGGTGGAATGTGGCAGAGTAGGTGCTGGTGGTGGAATGTGGCAGGGTAAGTGCTGGTGGTGGAATGTGGCAGAGTAGGTGCTGGTGGTGAATGTGTCAGGGTAGGTGCCGGTGGTGGAATGTGGCAGGGTTAATGCTGGTGGTGGAATGTGGCAGGGTAAGTGCTGGTGGTGGAATGTGGCAGAGTAGGTGCTGGTGGTGGATGTGTCAGGGTAAGTGCTGGTGGTGGAATGTGGCAGGGTAGGCACTGGTGGTGGATGTGTCAGGGTAAGTGCTGGTGGTGGAATGTGTCAGGGTAGGTGCTGGTGGTGGGATGTGGCAGAGTAGGTGCTGGTGGTGGATGTGTCAGGGTAAGTGCTGGTGGTTCGAATGTGGCAGGGTAAGTGCTGGTGGTGGAATGTGGCAGAGTAGGTGCTGATGGTGGAATGTGGCAGGGTTAATGCTGGTGGTGGAATGTGGCAGGGTAAGTGCTGGTGGTGGAATGTGGCAGAGTAGGTGCTGGTGGTGGAATGTGGCAGGGTAAGTGCTGGTGGTGGAATGTGGCAGAGTAGGTGCTGGTGGTGAATGTGTCAGGGTAGGTGCCGGTGGTGGAATGTGGCAGGGTTAATGCTGGTGGTGGAATGTGGCAGGGTAAGTGCTGGTGGTGGAATGTGGCAGAGTAGGTGCTGGTGGTGGATGTGTCAGGGTAGGTGCCGGTGGTGGAATGTGGCAGGGTAGGTGGTGGAATGTGGCAGAGTAGGTGCTGTGGTGGTGGATGTGGCAGGGTAAGTGCTGGTGGTGGAATGTGGCAGAGTAGGTGCTGGTGGTGGATGTGTCAGGGTAGGTGCCGGTGGTGGAATGTGGCAGGGTAGGTGGTGGAATGTGGCAGAGTAGGTGCTGTGGTGGTGGGATGTGTCAGGGTAGGTGCTGGTGGTGGAATGTGTCAGGGTAGGTGCTGGTGGTGGAATGTGGCAGGGTAGGTGCTGGTGGTGGATGTGGCAGGGTAGATGCTGGTGGTGGGGTGTGGCAGGGTAGGTGCTGGTGGTGGGATGTGTCAGGGTAGGTGCTGGTGGTGGAATGTGTCAGGGTAGATGCTGGTGGTGGAATGTGGCAGGGTAGGTGCTGGTGGTGGATGTGGCAGGGTAGGTGCTGGTGGTGGGATATGGCAGGGTAGGTGCTGATGTTCAAGTACATTTACTGGAACCACGCCGTCTTCATGCTGTATGTGGTCTTATAATTTATATCAATGTTTTGGGCCAGACAAACCAGTGGTTAATATCATGAACCACGTCCCACGCCATCGAGGGACGATGAGACGCCGTCCAGTAATGCCTTTTTTTTTCATGTGCTAGGAACCTGTGATAACCCGGAGTCCTAGTTTGTAAAGGCATCGTATCATTATTGTCAGTTAGTACGTGGACAGTTCTGTGTTAAAAATGTTGTACAAAACCGCATAATGCCATTGCTATAATTAGTTCAGGCAACCCCCAACACACCCAGTTTCAATTATATTTTGTTAAAATAATTCTGAATATAACCGGACATGTGGCCAGGACACTAACACATGTCACGTAACGCGTTACGTATGTGACTTTTAATGCATCATGACATACAGTGACTACAATAATGATTGTCGGGTATTTCACACATATTATACATGTACATGTACGTGTATGTTGCATTTTCACATGATTTATACCTTTAAGAAATTGCAATTTCATTTTTGTCATATTGCCTTAATAAATGTCACTTAACAAATTTCAGTGTCGTTGTATTTCTTTTTGTTTTATACACAATTTTACATTGTCAAACAAACAGTGAGTGTGTGAATGTTGTGTAAAGCCGCAGTCAACAATATTCCAGCTGTGCATCAGTAACAAACCATGCGTAGCTCCAGAGCAGTGCGCTGTCTAGGAGTTCTTGTACCACTTCTTCAGTCATATCCAACTTGGATTCGAACCCGCGATCAGCGGATCCGGGACCGACTACTGGACTGATTACGGCGACCCATACGGCTCGGCCTCCTATACCCCTGAAAGTATAAACACCAGTCAATAAAAGCAGTACGAATAGGCCCAAATGTTCACAAAAGTGTGAAAGATCAATAAGCGATGCAACAAAGAAATATTAACGATCCCAATGTTACTTTATGCATCATAAAGATGTTCATCCATTGGTAAGATTAAGGTGTAACAAATTCAGCAAAATGTTACCTAATGTTTTGAAAAGGTGAAACTATGTTTTGTGTTTGTTTTACCTTCTGAGACAGTCTAGAAAGTCTTCTCTGTATTTATGCGGAAATCATCAGAATATCAATGCTGACAGCAAATTGTAAAGATTGCCTCCTTTGGGTCATGATATACTCTTATTAATTCTTTGTTCATAATTCGTTTTCGTTTCATTTCGTTAGAAAAGCAACACAGGGAAGGTTTTGTTGAAGAGAGATATAGCCCTAGATACGGAGACGTCAAGCATCACACGATGTGTGTGTGTGTGTGTGTGTGTGTGTGTGTGTGTGTGTGTGTGTGTGTGTGCATGCAACCACTATCTTTTATCGTCTTTTGGCCTGACGCGGCCGGGGATCTCTGGCGGAGGTTTATATCATTAAGAGCACAGTAGTATTTGCCTTGTATTCCATCGATGTATTGCTTTTTTCTGTTTCCTTGTCGTGGTTTCGCCCGAAGAGAAAATATGTAAATACATAGACACAAGGCGTGTACAATAGTCAGTGGATACGGGTGGCCTAGTCAGCTAAGGCGCCACAATGATCGTGGGTTCGAATCCCGGTTAGCCCCGATTTTGTTGTCTAGATTTGTCAGCACATACCCGTGCTCGTGGTTTCACCAAAATGGTTAAGGCCTAAGACCTGCAACATTTCGCTCTTTCCTCCAACGGTAAGCTTGCACGCCGTGATGTAACTACAAAAATATTTAAAGCTGAGTTATTAACTCACTCAATTATCCCCTCACTACTTTAGTTCATCATTCGGAATTTTGTCCTTTAAGAGTCAGAATATTATTGTAACCGCTATTTTGCCTTTTACGCCCAATGGAATCTGTTTCCGCGGAATAATTGAGATTGATTATCTGTCATTGAAGTTTCATATTTTGTTTTCGGTTTCAGTCTAGTCAGATGACCAACTCCTAGTTTTGCTGAGGCAGAAAAACAGGGGTACAGCTGCAATTATTCAACACGTCAACACGATTTCCTAATAACTCATTGAAGGTAGGGATTACTTTTCTCCGGCAACAAGTTGAACGTCAACCGAAGTTTTTAATCAACATTTATGTGATTGGTTCTTATATGATGTTTGGGTGTAAAGTTTCACACGTATTCGAATAATTTGAACCACGCGGAGAAAACAAGGAAATATAACATTGCATTAACACACCTGAATATTTGTTGAGCAACGAACCTTCAAGACTTCCTTTATTGGCCATGCAATTGAGGACTGTGAACTTTGTGTGTGATGTGTAGTCTTTTGGATGAAGGTACAGCATGGCCTGAATGTATATTGACATAATCACAACCGCATATTTCCTTGTTGTAGGCCCGTGAAGACGCCGGGGTAGAATAACTCTTCCGCAACCCATGCTTGCCGTAAAAGGTGACTATGCTTGTCGTAAGAGGCGACTAACGGGATCAGGTGGTCAGGCTCGCTGACTTGGTTGATGCATGTCATCGATCTCAATTGCGTGGATCGATGCTCATGAATTAATTAATCACTGGATTGTCTGGTCCAGACTCGATTATTTACAGACCGCCGTCATATGCCTGGAATATTGCTGAGTGCGGCGTTAAACAACAAACCAAAACCAAAACTCTGCATTTACTCAGTATCAAATGTCACAAAGGGAAGCTTGGAAACACCACAATTCCCAAATATACATGTAAATGGATGTTAAGATAACGGTACAACAAAAAGTCATGTATTCAATATAGAGTATGGAGCACAGCATTTACACGAGAGAGGTGTACAGACTAGAGCAATGATGTCGTTGTTATAATACAGTTGTACCTTTCAACCCCGTGGAACCTATCTAACAAACTTCATGTACATTTCTGAATGCGTCTGCGATTGTGACAGTAGTTCAATAAAAATAATTGTTTTGTTTTGTTTTGTTCACATCATAAAATCATCATCAAAATCACTACCTGAAATTCATGCTTTGTGTTTGCAGTAATCAAACACAACATGTGGAAACTCAAACTCCCGACACTGGTGACATTAGCTGTGTGTTGCTGTGCAGGTTAGAGATGCATGTTAATTTTCATCTGTTCCCTGGCTTTCTGAAAATATCGCTCTCACTGTACAAAGTTAGATAAACTATGTTCTGTAATGCGACTTTATCATTCCCCCCAAAAGAGTACTCAATCAGATATACTGTCTTCTACTGACACCTCGTTTTGGATATCTTGAGCATAACAATATTGCTACCCATTTTGAATATTATGGTGAATATTGTACTGATGAAAATAGGTTATATATAACATTTTACAAATTTCACTTGACTATTAAATGATAAAAGTTCATGTTGTAAGCGGTATCGCCTGAACCATCGTAAGTTTACATAACTATAAGTTAATTTACTTTATGTCATCTATGAATCGTGGTTTATTATACCAGTCCCTTCAACAGACATTGACGAAAATAACATTTCTTTTGGCCAAATTTATTATTTGTCTTTTTCATACAACAAAATATCTTTCATGACTGATGATTCCCAGCTGAATCAGCGTCATGGAGTGACCGGGCGCCACTGATCACACAGTATGGCTGTGAGGGACTGCCTCTATCCCTGACTTGCCGCAAACCTCCTCCTGGGAGAATCATCTGGTTTAAAATAACTGACACAAAGCAAGTTATGCAAATCACACCTGATCACAGGATAAAAATAGACGTGAAAGGTAAGCAGCAGTAAGTCATGCAACAATCTACAAATTTCTGTCAGACCATTGTTAGAACGATCTGAAAACTCAAATTCCACTAAGCATAACCTTGTCATGGAAAGGTCCTACAGGTACCACAAGAATATAATTTCACTTGTGTATTTTGCAGGAACACTTCAGTTTTCTTCTGTGAATGTCAAGGATACTGCAGTATATAAGTGCGGTGTCTCGATAAAGAGTACAATAACGCTTGGAAGTCCGGTCAACTTGAAAGTCATAAAAGGTAAATATTTCATACCATTGAGCATTTTGTGTTGCTAGTTGAGAATAAGTATTCCAAACATCAGCAGTTTCTCACATGATGAAGCAAATACCCGTGTCATGTTATAGCCAAAATGATGATACTATTCAATATGCACTCGTGCTGTTGGGTTTGGTGAAACTACTGATGAGTAACGTTATGTATGTTTCTCAATGAGTAATACCAGAGCCAGTTCTAAATACCATTGCATCTCGGGAACAGCATGTTACAATATCGTGTTACTAATACCATCCACTACAATATTCCACCAAAACCCCCCTTCGAAGGACAAGCTGTACAGAGTTGTTAGTTTGGTTCCATTATTTTTCCAGTTTACACCTCGTTCTGCGATAATGAGATCACCAAAACGGTCGGACAATCAAATCCTTCCAGAACCATCAAGACTATGTTTGAGAAGGATCTATCTGCCGGCAAGTATGTTGTTGTATCAGACACAGATGTTGACACGTTACATGCAAAAGTACATTTGGCTACAAATACTGAAGTATCATGGCATCATATTCCTGCATTACAAAAAATAACAACAATGTGTGTAAGAATATTCATCGAGAAACAGTATACACCCTACACCTTCGAAAACGAACGGACTGTATTTGTAGTTTGAAGGTCAAAGGCCCTCGTTTTGAAATATGAAATGTAAAACAAACCTGTTGTTCTGATAGTATTAGGTTTAGACATCGTGCAATGTGAGCAGCAGTTTGACCAGAGGTAATATGACTACAGACATCTCACTTTCGACAATCACTGGCTTCTTCAGTGACGTATGTCCATCATGACAGTACAGGTCATTTCTTAATATCAGCTTTGTGCTGTGATAACTGTTAACAGGATGAACACTGGCTGCAATATGATCATGTTTGTTTATTTGTTGTTTAACGCCGCACTCAGCAATATTCCAGCTGTAGGACGGCTGTCTGAAAATAATCTAGTCTGGACCAGACAATCCAGTGAGTAATATCATGAGCATCGATCTACACAATTCGGATACGATGTTATGTATCAACCAAGTCAGCGAGCCTGACCACCTATCCCGTTAGTCGCCTCTGACGACAAGCATAGTTGCTGAAGACCTATTCTAACCCCGCTCTTCACACGAGCTCGGAGTGGAACATCATATGTAATGCACGTGTACGAAAAGAATAATTTATTTATTTTTTGCTATGAATTTTAATCATTTTTGTGCCGCGATCAGGTTCATCCGTTCAATGGTTCTTCTTGTGGCTGTATTCTAAATATACAGCTACACACATTAGCACTGGATATAATTTGTATCGTATTCATATTATATGAAGTTTGTGATTTGTGTCAAAGGTAACATTTCACCCGACATATATCACAAGTTTTCTTAGATATGGGTTTGAAAAAAAGTATCACACCAGGATGTTGCATAATCCGTGTGTCCATTATCACAAAAGGGACAATGTCATACAGTTGCAAAAAATATCAGTTTCTGCTTATTGTAGACAAAACCCTGAAAAAAACTAAGTTTCAATTTATTTACAGGCCAGGCAATCGCTACGCAGTCCACCTCATCTATGGAGAAGGGCGATGACGTTCCAGGCAAGACATGCATAATTTTACTATAACTGTTTTACCCCAGCAGTACTAGTGTATCTATTAACTGATTTTGTAAAGACGATAATTATACACGTTAACAGTACAGAAACCAATGTCTTTACACAAACGTCACTGTTACACGGCATCTGAACTCATAAATCATACCTCAAGTTTAGCTCATCGGTAATTTCGATTGTTTGCACTATTTACAACAGCATGAGTGGTAGGAGTTCATAAAGTAATTAAACAGTACCGTTGATAGTTTGTGGTTCCCGTATGCGAAATTTTATAATTAAAGTTTATGAATTCTTGAATCGAACTTAGAACTTTCAAAGCGAAAATTGAAGTAACTGTAAAGCTATTAAATTCTTATCATTTAAAGAGTGATATCACTTCATTATTTCAGCGTCCGTTGTACTGATTGGGTCGTTAGTGGGTGCATTCATCGCCCTTGCCCTGCTAGGTGCAGTCGGGGTTGTCATTATACGGTACGAATCAGTTGTCATTTGATAACTTTCAGCTAAAACGTTATGATATGGATCTTTACGATGCTGATTTTAACTTCCTCATGGTTAAATTTTTGTGACAGACAGTTGATAGAAAAAACGCGTTTTACACATTTGTCAATAGTTTGTGGACGTACACGGATAAGCAAAAGCGACTATTAACGGAAAAAGGAAATAATGTTTTTTTAACATAGTGATATTTTTGGCACACTTTACATAGTGTTCCATGTCGGGCATGACCCATGACCCATAATTTCAAGGACAAAACTCAAGTTTTAATGAGGCCAAGGGTCCTGAGTTAGAGTCGGTAGGAATGTATAAATATGGATCGGCTGTATAACTAGACTCAACGTCGCGTCAGAATGAATTATTTGGTCATCCTTACACGATGTGACTGATCATCACTCAAATCCAGGAGCAACGGTGGCTCATTTGTCTCAGGCGTGCCAGAATTCTGATCAATGATTTTATTTCTTGTAATTGGTTTGATCATACCATGCAAGTACCCATCCGCATAGGTCCCAGGACGGCGAAGATACCTGGACAACCTTGGGCGTTACGTCCGACGTTGTGCTGACAAGCCGTGGTATGACGTGGTTGCCGTGGTGCTGAGCCCACCTCACTAATATTCTCCTCAAGAGCAAATCATGTATGGAGTGACGAAGTATACATTTGTATAAGTGACGTACACACTAAATCAGGGTAACATTTAGTTGTCTTACATGCAACGTGAGTGAGCGGACATGGTTTTACGTCGCTTTTAGCAATACCACAGCATTGGACACCAGAAACTGGATTTACACTTTGAACCCATGTTGGGAATCGAACTCGAGTCTTCGGCGTGACGAGCGAACGATTAACAACTAGGCTACCACGCTGCCCTATCATGAAAAGCATGTTGGAGGTTTACTGAGTACAGTGCAGTTACTTAGTTTGTAAATTAGGTTAGTACCGACATGTGTTTGTACCTGAATGTATCAATTATTTTCTATCTAGCAGTAGTACAAAATCGATTTCAGACGTATGCAGATAGAAAATGACAACCCTCCATCTTACTTGTCTGGAACGAAGGATGGAGACGTGGACGCCTATAGAGGACATGCGGTATATTACAGAAGACATCCCATATATGGCGTACAAGTTCTGCAATTATGAATGTATTATTTGAGGCGGAATGTTCCTTCGGGATTGACCATTTATTTTTCTAGTGTTAATAAAATAACTATTATATGCATTACCTTCGCATATGTGAAGCTAAGGCTGCAAAACAAATGTTTCTCGAACGCATTTATTTCTCAAAAGTCAGGAGGAATAATGATTTTTATATTTTTTATTGAACACTTTTTATTTTCTTCCAATAATGGATGCCACGGGTGGCCCAGTCATCTAAGGCGCAGCGATTCGCTGTGCAGAGTTGCGTCTCTTGGGCACGCCAGAAACCTCGGATTGTGGGTTCGAATCCCGGTTCGCCGATTCCCGATTATGTTTCTAGGTTTTTCAGCAACATACCCGTGCTCGTGGGTTTCACCGAAGTGGTAAACGTCTGAGACCTGCATCACTTCGGGCTTTCCTCCCACATAAAGCTGACACGCTGCGATATAGTGAGTGAGTTCGTGAGTATGGTTTTACGCCGTTTTTAGCAATATTCCAGCAATATCACGGCGGAGAAACCAGAAATGGGCTTCACACATTGTACCCATGTCGGGAATCGAACCCGGGCCTTCGGCGTGACGAGAAAACGCTTTAACCTCTAGGCTACCCGACCGCCCAGCGCCGTGATATAACTGGAATAATGTTAAAAGCGGCGTTAAACCCAACTCACTCACTCACTCAAAAGTGAGGTGCCGCAGCTGAGGAACTTTTTTAGCCGAAACCAATGTCATTACATAAACGTCCCTGTTACACGGCATCTGAATTTTAAACCCTTTTCAGTTTGCAGCACCTGAAATACATGTTTTCTGGCAATGTCATTAATATCGTATACCTCCATTGAACAGAAAGCAGTCGTGAATTGTAAATTCCATTAACCAAAAATATTTCTGTCCCGATTTTATTTTACGATTTTATAATATTTGTACATGCACGTATTTTCATAAGAAGGTAGATTTTCAAATTTGTCATGATAATATGAACACCTTCTATCGTTCCACGATAAATTTTGTAAGTAAACAGTTGCCCTGAAACAGGTACACTGCACTTGATATGGTCACAGGTACAACTGAATCAAGACACCATACACGTCAGCACTTTCAACGCGTGTTCTTATGAAGACGGGGGAACCGGTGGCCCAGTCGTCTAATGCGCCGCGATTCGCTGTGCAGAATTGCGTCCCTTGGGCACGCCAGAAACCTGTGGGTTCGAATCTCGGTTCGCCCCGATTATGTTTCTAGGTTTGTCAGCACCATACCCGTGCTCGTGGGTTTCACCGATGTGGTAAACGTCTAAGACCTGCATCACTTGGGGCTGTCCTCCCACATTAAGCTGACACAGCGTGATATAACTGGAATACTGTTAAAAGCGGCGTTAAACCCAACTCACCCACTCACTCTTATGAAGACAAAATATTCTGTTTATATGCCTGGACATCTTTCGAAAGTGTTCAGACACTTAGATGCTAGTTTGTTGCATGCTGTTTTTACACATTTTAATACAATCAACTTCAACAATAATTATGTATGCCCATTACGGGTTTCTCATGAAATACCCAGGGAGGGGAATGATCCGGGTTTGATCCCGGGCCGCGTCATACCAAAAGACGTTAACAGACGTTAACGCTACCCCATTTCACCGGCCCACCATCTCATATAATATTCATGTCGTACCTATGAAGTATGTTTATATCAATAAATTTCACCTAGTATTGTATTGCAACTAGCATTGGACTCATAGTCATAACCTTGTCTTTCCATTTGTAATCACATGTATATATCTTTCGACCATATTTCGATAGATTGTTCATATTTTGCCTTATTAAAACCTGTTTGAAAACGGTAAACCTGTCATGTTATAATTTGTCCCTGTATCATATCATCAAACGGTTTAAAATAAAGAAACTCTTCATTTATCTACGTCCGTTTGTTATAATACACATGTAGTCGTCGTATTACGTAATTAGACCAGTAACGTGTTCAACATATGAAAATTCTTTCCAATTCGTCAACAAATTTCATGACTCGTTTGCAATGGGTTTCAATGATACTAATTAAACACAGTGCGTGATAAGTAGGGTCCAACAGTAATATTGTGTCTATTTAAGAAATAGCTTTAATTTGGAGAACAAGTTTGAACTTGGTTTCAGTTTCATTTGTGATGGCACGTAAGTAGCAAACAAGGAAATTCTACTTATATTTTTTGATTTAATTAATAACTGCTTTATCAAACGATAATCTATGTACATGTGACAATGGTAACGACTCAGGATAGGCAAGCACACACACACACACACACACACACACACACACACACACACACACACACACACACACACACACACACACACACACACACACACACACGCACCACCACCACCACCACCACAACGGTTTCTACTCTAGATACCAGTGTCTTGGCTTGATATATATCCTCGTATGACAACGTGAGTCCGGTTACAATGTTTCGTTACACTTACGAAACGCGTGAAATTAATAAATAAAGTGTGACATGACGCTCATTATTAATTATTTAACTTGCAATTCTGGACTTCCTCATTGATACCATTTGGGGGGGGGGGGGGGGGGGGGGGGGGGGGGAGACATTTAAGCAACATGTAGGCATCCCCATGGGCACCAATTGTGCTCACCTTTTTGCTGATCTGTTTCTTTATGCATGTATCGGAACCTCCGCTCAGATTGACAAAATCAAAACAAATTAATTTGGCCAAGACGTTTAACTTACGCTTCATGTATATAATATTAATGATCTGATATGGTTCAATAATGGTCAAATAACCACTTCCCTCCTAATGATAAACCCACCTGAACGACAAATAAAAGAGATCAGTGAGACCGGCTTACATGTTTTGTATTCAGATCTATGCATAGAGATATCAGAGGGACAAATTATCCACAACACTGTATGACAAGAGGGGTGACTTCAACGTGCCCTTTATGTCGAGGAATATTGCAGCAGCACCAGCCCTTGGTGTCAACATTTCACAACTTTTGAGGAACAACCGAACATGCGCTTTCCACCAAGATGTCAAAGAGCGTCATACGACGATTGCTGAGAAGTTCCTTCTAAGGTCAAATAAACAACATTCAAGGCCCAGCGAAGCTATTTAAAAGAACTTTTTTATGGCAGACATTTGACGCACAAGTGAGAAAAACATGAATAATGCCCGATACAATTTCCTGTTTTAACTTGTACCACATGTTCCCGTTTTTCGGGTGAACATTTGACTTGTCTTTGCATGTGTTTGTGACTGATGCCGTCGTTGGGGCAGGATACTTCCAGTTTTTTCGTATCATCACTCTTTGCTAGTGACACATAAACACATGGTGTTTTATTCAGTGTTTTGTAGGCCATCGGTCCATGTACAATTTACAATAGTTGGATTTGGTCAAAATAAATCCGAAACTTTGTTTCCTTTTGTCGCTGTGTGGGACATCTGACTTCATTTCGTAATGTTATGACAATGTATAATCAGGAAGACTTAAAACAAGACATCTCATAGGTTTGAGTAGCTACCCTTGAAATGGGCACTAACTCTAGCGTACATCTGTATTCTTGCAAACGACGATCACTGAGAAGGTTTTAGGGTCATTTAAAAACTTACCTATATGGTAGTTAAACCACTGTCTTAAATACAAGTTTCAGTTGGTACTATATTTCTAATCACTCATCTTGTGATGTTATATATTAATGCGCACATCCCAGAAAAACAAGAGTTGGTTTCGTTTTAAAGTTTGTGAAAGCGTTTGTTCTCCTGGTAACCTCCATATAGTACATGTACATTGGATCTGATATATCTGACGTGTTCATTTAGAGCTACGCATTTGTTTTCGCTTTTCCCTTTTCAAATCATGAGTTAAGTATATTCTATTCATATCACAATGTCCCCGTTACACTGACACAACAGACCCGTGAAGATCCGGGGTAGAATATATTTTCAGCAACCAATGTTTACCGTATGCTTGTAATAAGAGGCATCTAAGGGGATCGGGTGGTCAGACTCGCTGACTTAGTTGATGCATGTCATCTTATCCCAATTGCGTGGTTCGATGCTCATGATATCAATCACTGCATTATCTGGTCCAGACTCGATTTTTTACAGACCGCCGTCATATAGCTGGAATGAGTGTGGCGTTAAACGAAAAGTAAACAAACGAACAAATAAAATCACTGACACAACAACATCGTGATGTTAAATAAGAAATGCAGTTCCGCGAAGAAATTATTCACTTATTCACACTGTTACAAACAGGAAGTAGTACGTTCAAAGGTTGATAGTACTAATGACATGTACGTGTACTTTGATAACAAATGCATAGCATAGCTAATGACCCCGTATTTTATTCAACAAGGTATGGCAAGACGGGTTGCTGTCGTTCTGGTGTCCATTTCGTTGTTTTTTAGACATGCAGGTATGTGTATTTGTTTCAAATGTAGCTTGAAATACTGACACAAACGAGTTTATTCACGTATTGGATAAAGTAGTTTTCTAATATGAAATGAGATTGTATAAACTAAAAGGGGCATGTCAATTTTTACATGCAGGAAATATTACCACATTGATTCTTCAATGATCATATATGTACGTGGCGCCTTCAACGAACCTGCATATCACTCAAGGAATGTCTCATCCTAGTAAGTACCCTTTCACCGCTGGGTGAACAGAGCACATTTCGAGGAAAGTCACTTGACAACACATGTAATATGTGTTCAGGCACACCAGATCGCTGTCATTGTTTCTCTATACACATTCGTTCCTCTCTCCGGCAAACACTTCCAGCACCTTTCTATCCACAGATATGGATGCGGCCTGGGATGTTCGAGCTCCGGTCCGACAGCTGACTGTACCCGCAGGGGAACCAGCGTCACTCATCTGCCGGGAACCACCCCCAGGGAAGATAGGCTAGGGACAAAACGCGTGGAAATGCATTCCCTTCTCAAATCAAGGAAACCAATAGAACAACGATAGATTCGGACGGTACATGACTACGATACTTAATATTTAATAGATATATCCCTCATACAGAATAAATGTGTTTTGGTTGTGTAACATGACTGTATGCATTATAGTTAGATGTACCTTAGTTATGTTTATAAAACAACATGCCATTTAGCATATTGGTGAATGACAGGCTTTGTGGTCTAAAGTCACGGCTATTAAGCTGTGTGGATCTGCGTTCCGCAGCCATGCCTGGACCCGATTATGCCCCTGGCTTACTATGTCACCAGTTACGTGTCTCACCAAAGTACACCTCTACAGTCCGCCGTCAAATAGCTAGAATATTGCTGAGTGCGGCGTTAAACAACAAATAAACAAAACACCTCTTCAACCTGTGTCAATTGCTCCACATCAGGCTGACACGCCATAACTTAAATACTGTTCAGTTTGTTTTGTCAGTTTGAATCACTTTAGGCTGCAATTATTTGTTTTTAGGCACACTTCACTTTTCCTTTGTGCATGGACACGACACGGAATCGTTCGAGTGTGGGGTCAGTGTAATGTCATCTGGCTCTGTGGTCTTTGGAAGTACAGTCAATATGACCGTCAAAAAATCAACAGGTAAATAAAAGAGAAAAAAACCGTTTCCCTTTTCCCATAATGATTAGGAGTACACATTGAAGAAAGTGTTAGAGGAAAAGGTAGAAGAACATGTCTGATAAATCCCATGATAATGTTTCAATCTGTTTCGCAATGTGAAAAGAAAGACATTTCCAATGGGTTAAATAGGCCATATCATACCTTGTCGTTTCAAGACAATTACATAATTGTTCTCGTGTTTCAGGTGAAGAGATGGACAGGAAGCCAAAGGTGGTGTTTCACAGTGGCACCATCAAGAGTGAACTCGGAGAGGATGTACAACTGGAATGTATCTTCAGCGGCAGGTTTGTTGTCATATGTTGTCATGCAACGCTCATGTATCTGTTTTATCACAAGTGCTTACCCTGAACCTTGTCACACCGTGGACCCCAGTTCGACCCACAAGTTTGTACTTCTGTTTTGGTGTTGCTCTTAGTGATAGGGAATATTGCTAAAAGTAATGTAAAAACAACCAGACATCCATACTAAATAGTTCTTCCATTTGAAAACACATTACTTATGTACAGATCAGAATAACTAAAATGCAGCAAAGACCTCGAGGGTTTGGGTGATCCTGGCACAGTTAGGCTGGTTAGGATCATCATACAGTTCACCATACAGCCTTGGCATGAATGCTATCACAGTGGCACCAACTGACTGATTAGTCATCAACATCACATTAATATGAATGGTGAAATGTATACACACTTACTCGTCTTTGCAGACCTATACCAAAGATATCGTGGACACATTCTGACAAAACCATCAAGTCACGTGGCAGAGTTCTGGTCATCAAGAACGTGACTGAGGCTGACCACGGAGTATATACATGTACAGGAGAGAACATTGCAGGGTCTGAGTCTTCATCTGTTACTTTAGACGTATCAAGGACGAGTATCAGTAAGTCAAGCTATTTTTTACACTGTCATGTATTCCTCTCGGCTGAGATTCCAGATTACAGTTGTTCCCCAGCAACATATTCCTGTCGTAAGGGGGAACTCACTTGAATGGTTGGTCAGGCTAAGTGATTTGGTTCAACTTGATTCTTAGCCATCGTACTCCGACAGCTTGGGTTGTTGCAGACAATATCAATGACTGGTTTGTTACAATCGACCGGCCATAGTGTCACAATGTGTAGTATTAATGTTACTGAACGGGTTACAACTTTATTGCAGAATACATGACTTCTCGCACTTCTATTTCAACACATCTTCACTTCAGGATATTACCAGCGTCAACATATAGTCAAACATGGTGCGGTATGGCTTCATTAAAGATTACATGAATAATGTCTTTTGTAGTACGTCAACAAGATATTACGTTGTCAATGTTATAATTCTTCTGAAATCATAATAATATTTCCGACCCGACTCCGTTTTACCTCTTGCCTCAATCGCTTATATTGTAAATTATTATGGGAAGGCATGGTTTCATTGGCGAGGGGGCTCTCCTTGATGGAATTGTATTGTGCATTTTGGCACACATCATTTATTTTTTCGATACTCGTTTTGTGAAGCATGTTACGACTCATGATGGAAACAAGGTATTCCACAGTTTCTTAAACGAGCCAAGGATGTGGGACATAATCTCAAAGTCAATGTTGATTTTGTTGATGGTTCTGGATTGTTTCTGGACAGGACGGAAATGAGTGTCAACCAAACGTAGTGCCATTTCAAATCGGTCCAGATTCGGGGAGAGGCTTTCTACGCGACCACTGCATTGAGTCTATGTGCAGTGTGTTTGGGAGTATTCACATTCTCCCAACACGTTCTGCGTGGGTTCAACTAGGAAGCGCTTCCGGGGAGAAGTCCCTGTCTGGGCTGCGTGTAGAGGTTTTGGTTTGGTTTGTTGTTTAAAGCGACACTCTGGACCAGACAATCCAGTGATTGACATCATGAACATCGATCCTCGCAATTGGGATCGATGACATGCATCAACCAAGTCAGCGAGCCTGACCACCCGATCCCGTTAGTCGCCTTTTACGACAAGCATAGTCGCCTTTTACGGCAAGCATGGGTTTCTGAAAACCTAATAGGGGCAAGGACCCTGAGCTGATGATGAACATAACCAGCCTGACCGTGCCAGGATCACCCAAAATCTCTTTGATGCATTTTATTTTAAAAATACTGTAAATAATAATATTAATATTCGTTAATATAATTGTGACTAAAGAAAATATTTGAAAATACAGTACACCCTGAGACCTACTTTCTCATTATATGCAGTCCCACCAAACGCTAAGCAGTCCACTCCACCTTTTGAGCAGAATGATGACACCACAGCAGGCAAGTTATACATCATGCCATTTACATAACATCCCTTTAAATGTGTAGTGTTGGGGTTCTTTGATCACTCATTTAGTTACAAAGCAAACATGACTTAAGTATGTTTATAACAGTTCAGCAAACCCGAGTCATGGCTAACCTACAAATACAACTTGTAATTAAAACAGTAATATATATTAACCAAGTCAAAGCGTTACTTCCGAGATGTTCTCCTTTGCTTATGCGCTGTCCAATGTATGAGAGCCTGTACATCAACAGTCGAGCGTTGGTAAAGCCATTATCCAATTGTTTAAGTATCACTAACACAACATCAATAAGCTATTTCGAAGCATTTAAAAACATGGTTTGGGTAAAATGTATGAATCGAAACTTATGTAACCTTTCCTCATTTCAGCGTCGGCTGGTGGACCGTCCTCTGTTCTGGTCGCTACATCAGTGGTCGTGCTCATCGTGCTTGCACTGATTGGTACACTTGTGTGTAACAAGATATGGTATAAAGAATCACGTTTTTAATTTAATATACCTCATTATTAAAACTAACTGCAAAAACGGCCAAGATATTTCCCTATTTCACAATGATTATCTGAAAATGCAGTATACAAACATGGTGATGTAAATAATGAAATCGTGAATATTCACCATACAAACTTGGATATTGATTTTCTCTTTGACACAGTAATGTTATAATGGACCTCTATAAGCTAAAGTTCAATTTAGGTGAGGTGAGGTGAAATTGGGTTTAACGTCGCGTCCAAGATTATTGCACTTATATAGCGACATGCATGCACGTGTGTGTGTGTGTGTGTGTGTGTGTGTGTGTGTGTGTGTGTGTGTGTGTGTGTGTGTGTGTGTGTGTGTGGCTGCTTGTACTAGTCCGGACTGATGCCGATTTATAGGGCTAGCACACTGAGATACTATGCCACAGTTTACCATGAATACCTCACACAGACACAGTATACTGACTCCGAGCCGACCAGTCCTTGTTTTAGCCCCATAATGCCGAGCGCCAGGCAGGGTAACAACAAGTACCATCTTTTAACGTCATTTGGTATGACGCGGTCGGGGATCGAACCCCGGACCTACCGCTTTCCGGGCGGACACTCTACCACTAGAACACGGAGGCGGTCTACATATAAATAAATATAAATATTTCGTTTGTCTTTCTGATAAACAACATAAATAATCTAAAGGAATAACTGCTACATGATATGCGATAACCTGTCTGTTGTTTGTTAATGTGTTTCTCGTTTTTCGTTTGTGTTTCGTTTGTTTGTTGTTTACGGTCCGACTCAGCAATATTCCACCTACATGACGGCCGTCTGTAAATAATCGAATCGGGCAAGAAAATCCAGTGATTGACGTCATGAGCATCGATTCACATATATTCTTACGCGTAAGGTGTATAGCGACAATTTGCAAGAGTTATAACGTGCATTAAATATATGTCACATGTCAACATATTGTGAAACCTCCAACATACATGTACATGTTGCCATTGTTATTATAAGTATATGCTAATGATTTAACTTAACATACTTCGATTTCAGGCGCTTGAAGAAACAGAAGACAGACAACCGTACACCAACCTGCCGATATGACGATGGAGGGGTTTATGTTGGCTAGTAATCACCTCCCACCAGCAATCTTATGTTGTCATGTAGACATGTGTTACTTACGTTAACGTAAACTGTTAATGATATCGAAATGTATCATGTTTCTGGTATTTTCGCGTGATGCTTTTCTCTAGCAAAAGACTAATGAATAGTGTGTTAGTACACGTACATTATCTTGTTCCAGACTTTTGTAGACTGTAATTCAGTAATGTACAATATGCATATGGGTACAAGGCTCTAGCCACTCGAAGGTTGAGTGAGTGAGTGAGTGAGTAGGGTTTTACGCCGCTTTTAGCAATATTCCAGCAATATCACGGCGGGGGACACCAGAAATCCGCTTCACACATTGTACCCATGTCGGGAATCGAACCCGGGTCTTCGGCGTGACGAGCGAACGCTTTAACCACTAGGCTACCCGACCGCCTCTCGAAGGTTGAGACATCATTGCAATATAGCATAAATGTATTTATGTCATAGTGTTTGAACTGTCATAGTACCGCATAGTCTGATAACACACTTCCAGAAATTAATTTCAAACTGTCTGGTACACAATTCTGCATTACCATGTGCATGACTGTGCCTTTGTAAAAGTTCATATTAGAGTTTTGGTTCACCTGGTTACAATCAAGTTATTTTTAGTTTTACTGTTCACATGTGTTTCTCTTCAATGACAACGGGGTATCGCGTTTCCTTCTGTAATATTTTGCTCAAGAAAGCAATCAAGACGCATGCGCAATTTTCCTAATTTAACATAAAACTTTCACAAAACATTTGTATGATTGCAATCTGATTAATGTCATAATTCTATACATTAAAAAGGAACAACATTTGTCCTTACACATATCTCCATCTTTTGAAATACGTTCAAAAATATTTTTAAAATTTCAAAGCCCTCTAAACAATGATAATCAATGATATGTTATGACATGTACATGCCTTATTAAGTTTTTCATTAATGTCAGGTCACGCATCTACAAATGGGTTATCACGTTTTATTATCATCCCAATAAAGAAACAGGAGTGGTGGTGGATGTGTCAGGAGAGGGTGCTGGTGCTGGTGGTGGAATGTGCCGATGTTCAAGTACTTTTACTGCAACCACGCCGTCTTGCTCTTCTCCGTTTGTACCCGGGTCTTTTTTGTGAAAGGCATATCATCAGTCATGTAAATGCTTTTAATTTAGCACAGATGATCATATAGGTTCCGTACTGGAATCTACGCATGCTTTATGTGGTCATATAATTTATATCAAAGTTTTGGCCCAGACAAACCAGTGGTTAATATTATGAACCACGTCCCACGCCATCGAGGGACGATGAGACGCCGTCAACGAGCCTGAATCCTTATCCAGTTAAGTTGCCTCTTTGTCAAGTGCTAGGAACCAGTAATAACCCGGAGTCCTAGTTTGTAAAGGCATCGTATTATTATTGTCAGTTGGTACGTGGACAGTTCTGTGTTAAAAGGTTGTACAAAACCGCATAATGCCATTGCTATAATTGGTTCAGGCAACCCTCAACACACCCAGTTTCAATTATATATTTTTTAAATAATTCTGAATATAACCGGACATGTGGCCAGGACACTAACACATGTCACGTTACGCGTTACGCATGTGACTGTGAATGCATCATCACATACAGTGACTACAATAATGTTTGTCGGGTATTTCACACATATTATACGTGTACATGTACGTGTATGTTGCATTTTCACATGATTTATACCTTTAAGAAATTGCAATTTCATTTTTGTCATATTGCCTTAATAAATGTCACTTAACAAATTTCAGTGTCGTTGTATTTCTTTTTGTTTTATACACAATTTTACATTGTCAAACAAACAGTGAGTGTGTGAATGTTGTGTAAAGCCGCAGTCAACAATATTCCAGCTGT